GATTAAAGGAGTTCAGCTGCACAGTTTGGCTAAGCAATGACTAAAAGAGAGCATGATAACACTCTACAAATATTTGAAGAGCATATACCAAGAAGGGAGGATTTGTTATTTATCTTGGTACAAAGTTGTTGAACTGGCCATGAATGGTTGATGTTAAGAGAAGGAAACTCAAACTATCAGGGAAACTTCCTGGTTGAAATGTCTGACATCAAGGGACTTTTTCCTTAAGAAATAATGGCAAATCAGTACTTTAGTTAAAACAAAATGAAATTTGAACCACTGCATTTCTGAATAAAAACATTGAAACTATCAAAATTCATACCACTGACTGATAATTACTATTACCATCCTCTTTCCTTTCTGTTTTGCTTTTGTTGTTGTTGATTTTGTTTGCTTTTATATTATAAACTACTTAAAACTTTTAAAAAAGTATAGATTAAAAACTAACAAATACCCATGTACTCACCACCTTAAGACATTAGACCTGTGAAATATGAAAGCAGCTATGTAGCTCTCCCTGATCTCTTTCCCTTCCTTCCTCACAAGAAATAATTAATATTCTGGATTTGGTTATTATCATTCCTATTCAACCTCCAAAAATTCATTTCATATGTAAATATTCTTTAGCAATAAGTACTATTGCTTTGAAAATGTTCCCATAAACTATGTATCCCTCTAAATTCAATGAACTTTTTTCACTCAACTTTAGGTTTTTGAGATGAATCTAACTTGTTCTTATAGTTGTAGTTCACTCATTTCCAAAGAAGGATAACATTCCCTTGTATAAATATATATACAATACATTTTCCCATTATATCATAATGGACATTTATTTTCCAACATTCTGAGATTATAAACAATACGGTTATGAACATCTTCATACATGCCTCCTTGTTCTCATTGTGAAGGTTTCTCTAGGAATGCATTTATAAGGTATGTACACCTTCAATTTTACCAGTTATTGTCCCTCCTACTATTCATGAGAGTTCCTTTTTTCCACATTCTTAAAACTATTTTTAGACTTTTAATTGCTATTATTCCAATAAGTTAAATAATTACTAATGATTTTAATTTGCATTTCTCTGATTAAAGGTTTAGATTGACCACTTTCTATATGTTTATTGGCAGAAATGGTATTCAAAATATTTATTGACCATATGTTATGGAAACTGGTCAGTCAGAATGGGTGCCATGAACAACACTATTATTTTTTTTTATTATGTTAATTTCTTTCTTCATATACTTTGCTATATTTATATTGAATTGCCTTTTTATTTTTGAGTTGAATAGTTTACATTTTCCAAAACATCCTGTTCTATGGAACTTTCTGTGATGATGAAAATGTTCTTTTATATCTGCACAGTCCAACACAGTAGTCACTAGCCACATAACTATTAAGCACTTGAAATGTAGCCAATGTGACAGAGGAACTGAATACTTTATGTAATTAATATCCACATGTGCATAGGGGCTACCATACTGCACCTCATACTTATAGATAGCAACCCTCTGTCACCTACATATGATATATAAATATTCACTTTTATTTTATATATTTAAAGCCGTATATATGTATATTGGCTCTTGTGCCCTATTTTTCTTCCTAAGTATTATTTCTCTATGTCACTAAAAGAGCCTTTTAATAAATGACACAACATTTAGTTCCATAAAAGTTCTGTAAATTATGTAACCATTTTCTTATTATTAGACATTTAGGTTGCATAGTTTTTCACTGTAGTCAATTACGATTTTATGCATGATATTTTTGTCTTCATTTTCTATCATTTCATGTGAGATTCATGCAAAAGTAAAATTAGTGGAGAAAAGTGTATAAGCGCTTTAAAAACTTGACGCAGATCTTGCAACTGTTTTCTAGAAACTTGGTTCTGTCTCCTCCAGCAGGATATGAAGGATCTCATCTTACCATTCCTTTACCAGCTTCATAACAATTTCTTAATATTTGATAATTTTATCATTTAAAATGTTACCTAACCTTTTATTTATTTGGTAATCCATTTTTTACACATTTATTGGTCTTTTCATTCTTATGTGTAGTGTTTATTCATATCTTTTACTATTTAGCATGGTCTTCATATTTTTCTTATAAATTGCTAGAATTTCTTCTTGTGGTAAAGATATTATCCCATTGTCCTCAGCAGAAAATATTTTTCCCAGTTTTTCCTTGACTTTAAATTTTGTATATAGTACTTTTGATACAAAGACGTTTTTGATTTATTTTATTTTTTCCGTTGAAATCTCTTATATTATTTTCATGCTTAGAAAGTCATTCCCCACCCAGAAATGAAGCAGATACAAATGTTTCCTTCTAATTATTCTTTGTACACATAGTAATTTATATGAAATTCATAAAGGCATAAGGTATAGAAAACTTTCCCCAAATTGTCCATTTTTATAGCATTATGCCCTAAAGAATTTTATTTATTTATTTGGTACTCCATCTTCCTCCAGAAAAAATGTAAGGCAATTCATTGAAAAATATTTCCTTCCTTCCTCAATTAGAATGTTTCCTTGATCATACACTAAATTCTCATATATACTTTTTTCAAGTATCTAATCTCTGCTGTAGATTTGTTCTATCTTTAGTTGAGTCAGTATCATGGTGTCATAATATTTTAATATCTACTAAACAAATATCCTTTCAACTATTCTTGTTTATATTTCTCTTAAATATTACTTTCTTTTTTTCTGGATGAAGTTTATAACTATTTTCGTCATTTCTAAAAGTTGATTACCCACTGACATTTTTATTAGAATACTAAATGTCTAAATTAATATAGAAAGAATTGGCACCTTTATAATAACAAGTATTCTTATCCAGACATGTCACACATCTTTTCATTTAAAATTTTCTTTTATATCTGCATTTTTAAAACAGGTAGTGTGCTTCATTTACTATGATTTCTCCTAAATATTTTGCATTTCTGCTGCTTCCTACAATTTAAATTTTATAGGGTCCTACCTTACAAACATCCTACAATGCACAAGACATCCTCCACAACAGAATTATCTGGCCCCAAATATAACTGATACCAAGGCTGAAAAACCCTAACCGTGCTGTTCCATCTGTCTGGACCACTCTTCCTCTCTCTTTCCCTACTGTACTTCCCCTCCAAACTCCCACTTATTAGCAGTTCTCTCTTTTTTTAAAATTTAATCTGTATTGTAATTTTTTCCATTTCAGTTCTCTCCTTAAATGTCACTTTCTGTAGTAAATGTCTTTAACCACTTAAACTAGGTTAACCACCATGACACCATTCATAATCACTTATAATTACTTAAGATATATTTTTCTTCTACACTGTAAAGGGTCAAATCTATCCATTCACTATTTTCTTCCCTAGTACCTGTAACTCCATATATCTATTGATTAATATCTTGACCATGGGTTTTAAAAAATAAAACTTTACTCAAAATTTTTTAAAAAGCAATCTCTTAGCCTTAGTTTCCTTAGCTATAAACTATAAACGTTAACACCCATTTTCTCTATCTCACAGTTATTAATGTTCAAATAACCAGAAATATGTAAGCTTATAATGAACGTCTCTGGTCCTGAGCAAACTATGATGGTTGGTCACTCTGAGCACAAAATAGTTTTTATTTCAACTTTGTTGAACAGATATTTTATTATTGCATTTTTAAAAGTATCTAGAGTAGCCCTCAGCCTTCAGAAAGTCATTCATTTTGCTTATTTCTATAATCATAATAATAATGACACTCTATTATTGTATCAGGTTTCTTTAGAAAAATAGGATATATAGCCTAACCAAAATCATTTATTTTAACTTTATTGACAGAATCTATACCTGATTTTTAAGTGTGCTCTTCTAAGAATGAAATGGAAGACTTGAGACACATTTTTTCTTTTATTCTATAAAGCAAGGTTTGCCATACACATGCTATATCAGTTGATGCCACCAGCTCCACCAAAGTGGTAGAAAAAACACCTGAAAGACGTTACTTAAATTCCCTGTTGACAAACTCCCATCAACTGAAGTATATTTGTAAGTCAATATTTTTGCACTTTCACAATTGTTTATCTAATAAAGAGCTATTATTTCATTGATAAAAAGAGCAATCTAGAGGATTTTATTATGTAGTTAGCCATTAACTGCATTAAAAAAACTAGTGCAAAGAAATTGGTCATTTCAGAGAATTAGGGCTTTATATTATTTCTTAAGATAATATGCTTGTATCATTTCACCAAACTAATGGAGTTGCCATTTTCCTCAGGTCCAGATTTACCGCACAACACATTGTCATGTGCCCTTGGTTCTGCAGCACCTCTTTTTAATGATTAGTTAACTTGAGGATAATGAAGACCTTATCATGTGCCTAATTAGCCATGCAGTCCCTAATGGTAGCCTAACTCATTTAGATAAAGTCTCTTTGCTGATCTGTGATTTGATTGGGGGCTAGGAGGGGGAGAGGAGTCTAGGGGTGTAATGTACCCTTTCTACCAGCTCCCACCTCCACCACCCGCACTCCATATGTAGAAGAGATCAGCAAAGTGACTAATACATGCATACACAGTGGCTGAAACAAACCGTAACATTAAATTTGGGCTTCTTGATAACTATTAAAGGTTTTGTCCAAATAAGTATATCCCAAATAGCAATTCTTTCAATATCCTCAGCTTTAGGCATTCTATTTATATTTAAATGGAAATTTCTTGGATCAGTAATGGTCTTTTTTTTTCTTTTTTTTTTTTTGCAATCACTTAAATATCTGATATTAGGTAAGGATAATTAAAAAATCACCTTTACTAGGTTTATTGGAAGTTGTTCAGTAGGTCCATGTAAAGAACAATTAGCTGCCCTAAATATAACTTAGCTCATTCTGAGGTCCTCAATCATTCAAGGGGTTCCTAATAAATAACATTTATTTCTGTATTTGACAGCAAAGGTGATTAACACTTACTGTTCAGTTTGTAATATATATTACAGCAGATGTAAAATAGGAGAAATGAAAGTAATTCTTACCTCATTCTTCAGCTTGCTTCCGGAAAACCTTAAAAATCAGTACATTTTCCATTAATTAAAAATATATACATATATACAGTTATAGCTATCAAGGAAATACAGAAAACTTACAAAATACCTTGATTAATGAAATAAATTTGGAGAAATTTACTTGATGTTCAAAGGGATCCAAGTATCTCTTTCAACTTACTAAAAAACTAAGTCTATTAAGGAAAAGTAAGATTAAGAATCTTTAGGGAAATCTGGTAAGATTTGAAGCAAGCATAAAATACTTGATCGTAAATATTTGTGTGTGTGTTCCGGGCTGTATTTGCACTTTACAACAGGTAGTGGCTATTCAGCTTCCATTACGTTCTTTGCAACATCTTGAGTTCATTGCATATGACTCAGGTGACTAAATTTGGCCCCCCTCCCCACAGAATACTTTAGTTTTAAAAATCATTCTTTGACAGCTAAGAGCAATTCTTGACAATCTAGACAATCTCAGATGTAGATTTAATTATTCAGGGCTCTAGAATTTAAAAAATAGCAATTGTATATTTCATAGGTTTCACAGAATGTTACTTCACTTATGAATAACCTCCCTCTAACAATTAACAGCAGATTAGAGCAATGTGTTCTCTATATTCATTTGTGTTTTTCTTTTCACAGAGACTCAGAAAGGTCAGTAGCTTTATCTTACTAAGGTAAGCTGGCAATAAAGGCACATGTGATTAGAGATGATTATACAATAATAACCTTTTCATCTGTGTAAGGTACTGGTCAAGCATACAGATATTTAAAACAGGTTGTTTATTAGGAAAACACATTTACAATTTCTGACTTTATTTTTATTGAATTCAGCCTGAGACAGATTTAGACTTATGAGTAAATACTAATTTAAAAGCAATTTGGCTTCCATGGTTTTTCCTTTTCATCTCTCTGAAACACCTATTTCATTTTTAAGTTGTCATTCATGACTGCAAATTATATAAACTGTACAGTAACCTACACCATATCACTGTAAATGTCCATGCAAAGTTGAAATTAAGGTCTGATGCTTAAAAGAAAACATTTGAATAATTAAAATTAGTAAGTCATTCTGTTCAAGAGATATCATGCATATTGAAAGAAATACGGAGAACTTGTCTTGAAGATAGTGGAACTCTACCTTGTCAGGCCCTTTCCAGAATACACGGAGTGGTAGTATGCACTGCTTTCTTTGATGCCAATCCCATAATAATGATACCTAGAACAAGGACAGGAACCAGCTCTGTGTTAATGTAGGAGTTTCTGAAGGGGGGAAAGATACTAAAGTACCAACCACAAGTCAGAACTGTAACCCATTGATCACCTTCCTTTCCTGATTTTTTTTCCCAAATAACATCTTAAATGTGCTAAATCCCTCTTTGAGAGTAACTAATCCTACTTATGTTTTAAATATATTAAATATATATTTTATATGTTAAATATATTAATGTATTAAATATATATAAAATATATTCTGTCTCTTGACTTGATAAGATAGAAGAATCACCTACTGCCAAGCCCCTTTAAACCCCTAAACAATTAGGTTTCAAAGCAAAAAAAAAAAAAAAGAAAGAAATCGTAGGCACTCAACTGTAGGCACTTAAATTTGTAAATGTAGGCATTGGCTCTAAGTATACAGAATGTATTTATTTGTAAATGGCTCCATTCAATTTGAATTTAGTCAATCGAATAAGAAAACATAGGGTTCCTTTGTATTGTATCTATTAGTTAGAAAAAACAGTATGACATTACCTGTGAGGAAGACATGGATATCATGCATAGGAATATGTATGACACATGTGACCCTTTAAAATTTTTTTTCCTCATGTGGAATGAGAAGCCTAATTCAATTTCATTTTCTTTTTTTTTTTTTTCAAATTTATTTTACTTTATTTTTTCTTTTTTTTCCTTTTTTTTAATTTTTTTTAATTTATTTACTTTTTAAATACATTTGTCTCTGCCTCCCCCCCACCTCTTTCCCTTGCCCCCTCCCACCTTCCCTCCCTCAGCTCTTCCCCTTTGGTTTTGTCCATGAGTCCTTGCTATGTGTTCCTTGACTTTCCCCTTCCCTTCCCTTTCCCTGTCAATTTCATTTTCATTTCAAAGTTCTGTGCAATAATGGGGCAGGGAGAGAGGCAAACTATTTCGTGAATCAATGGAAATATAAATCATAGACAGTAACAGAGTTATGAATAATTGGCTATAAATATGTCTGTGAATCCTGAGCCACAGGTAAGTATAGAATCTTATCTAGTCTCATGTAGCATTTTCTCCAAAACTGCAGGCTCGTGACACATTATGCACCCAGGTAGGTACAAACACTCCAAATACTATATAGTAGGTATTAGAGAGGATGGCCAAGCCCGTTAACGTCTGCTTTCACTCTTCCTCTCTCCTCATGCCTGACCACTGCTCATTGGGCTCCCTACCATTTCACTTTGCATTCATCTAAGGTCAGGGAAGGGATGAAATAAAAGAGAATAACGGATTCCAGTGTAACAATATTTAAAGTTTCATTTCTTAGCATCACCATCTGAGTTGAAAGTGCACAGAAGAATCTAAGTTCCAAGGCCCCTTTTCTGACCTCAGTAATAAAGAAAATTCTTGGTGGAGCAATTCCACCCCTAAATGTTTTCAAAGCCCAGGACGAGAGTATAATAGAGGCCTAAGCACCATATATCCAATTATTTAAAACATATAAGTCAAGCTAACGAATTATTAAATACAATGTCCTTATCCTCCTATCTTGACAAGTTAACTGCATAATATATTTGTGGGTTGTTTGAACTTAGAATTCCTAGACTCCTGGAGTTCCATGTGGTAGCCTTGTGGTGGGGAAAAGTGACCCTCAACTCCCACCTCTTCTCAGCCCCTGTTTCATTTTTCACTGTGAGGAGCCTCTTGTGAACACTTCAGCCTCCACATCCAAGACCCATCCACAAAGGCACCCTCCAAATAGCTGTCTCTTGGCCGTTCCTCTGCTCTAAATACACTGGTGGAGCTGAACACCCTCCTGAGAATGGATGAGGAATAGTGCCACGTAGGCCCAGGAGGCAGACCGGAGGCTGTTTGCTCAGGGAATTCTCTGGCCCCCGGGACCTGGAATGCAGGTTAAAAGGGGGAAGCGGTTTTAGGGCGGACACGTTCACTCAGGCTATTGACTCCTTATCTGCTGGGGAGGGGAACAGCTGGAGGACCATAACAGCCCTGGATTCAGTGTGAGGCCCAGAGATGAGTGCTCTCCCATTAGGTCCTAAGAATGGTGCTGTGGTGGAGAAGTTGCCTCTAGTGACCCTGGGACATTTGAGACGGAGAGGAGTTTCCAAATATGAAAAAAAGATTACTTATATTGTAACAAATATTTTCAGAAAGAGCTACTATATTTGAGAAATAGTAACAGAGAGCGACCAGGGCGAATGAAGGCATTTTATGATTCTGGCAGACTAGAAACAAGTTTTTGAGTCCTCAGTTTTGGTAGAAGGACAATAACAGCTTGTTACTATGAACAGAAGAAGCTCATAGCTGCTCAGTTTTTACAAAACAGAAAATAATTCTCTGGTAAGTGAGGAAGATGAACCTCTAAGGTATATTGGAACGAAAGGAGAAAGGGAGAAAATACGAAACTTATGGAAACTCGAAAATATTGTACTAATTTGTCTCTAATTAGAAACTATAAGAAGGAAACTTGTCATTAAGACTTTACTACTAAAATCAGCTATATTAATAGAAATAGATAGGGGAAATATCATGAATAAATGCTATAGCTATAGCTATAGAATAAATAGCATTTAGATGCTATTTAGCCAAGTATATTAGAATTAATGAATCAAGAGTCTGAAATAAACTTAGTATTTCCTTTATTATATTTTAGAACTAAGATAGCAAAGGAAATGCCTTCACAGTAGAAGAAACAAAACAAGAAATGCTTGAGAACAGGGAATTTTAGTACAATAAAAATATAGTACATTGTAATTTTGCATTCTTATGCAAAGCTTGCTGTTTTTGTTAAGACGCTATAGTTTAAATAAGTACGTTTTAGTCACTTGCTTTAAAAGTTGATCATCTTTTATTATAACTTTATCTTCTTTCTCATCTACCTTTTCTCAACATGTAAACTATATTATACCATGGAAAAAGTGGTTTGTCATGCAGACTGAGATAAAATTGCATTGCTTTGACAGGTGGTAGACAAAAATCATGTCAAGGAATGATCCTAAGTTTAACAAATATTAAAGGCCATACTGTGTCCTAACCACTGTGTAGTTGTCAATACAATGATGAAAAAACCAACATGAAAAATCAGGTCAGGACCATGAAGGCTTCTGAAGTCCGCCTTAGTCCATGGCTTCCTGAACCAGACTGCCTGCCCATCACGGGACAGTGACGACACAGGCCCAGCCTGAGTCACATGTTTCTTCCACTTCTTAAAATCACCTGATGATCACTGTTTGTAAAAATTGCAATATCCTTTAGGACATGATAAATACTGAATAAAATGGATTTATAATTTTTCTTACATACAATTTTTAAGAAAAGGGTAATTTTGTTACAGAATTCATTTGTTCTTTATTTTAATAAAATGGCTGTATTATTCTATCTCTTCCCTTCCAATCATTAAGGCAAAATATTTTTAAAATTAGATGTACTTGAGGCATCCAGCTACATTCAGAATCAAGATTTTATATCTACCAAAGTAAAAAAGTCCTTTTTAAGTAATATATTTTATTTGTAGGTCAAATGTAAATGACTCCGTACCAGACACACACTGACACCTGGGAAAGGTAACTTGGTGGGCTACATTTCAGCCTACAAATGAAAAACGTGTGCTTTTTCTCGTTAGCATTTTCTCATCATTTAGATATATTGGTGTAGTTGAGCGTGTTCCATCAATACAATCTTATAAGCATGCCAGCTGGAAGGGAACCAGTAAAGAGCAAGTTCTCCCTCTTCTTTAGACAAGTACTCTGTGCTTATTGTGTGCCAGGTGCTGAAGATTCAAAGAGAGGAAGAAGAGGGTCTCTGCCCTAGAAGACTGGACAGCCTTGCAGAGAGAAAAGCATTCACAAAAAAGAACTGCAATACCAAATTAATATGTGCTGAAATTGAAGCAGGTGTTAGGAAGTAATTAGAAATGGATATTTTTTACTGAGCACTTGTTAGATGCAAAGAACTTTGTCTCAAATTTCTACAGCAGCCAGCAAGTAAAGTATTTTCTCCATTTAAAAGCAGAGGTTCAAAAGGGTTGTGATTTGTTTTAAAAGACTGTGTGAACAGATTATGGATTTGAAGACAAAATTCAAACTCATAACTCCACAAAATACTGTTTCAGTAGGCCATGCTGTCTCCAAACTCAAGATACAAAAGATAGATACCTGTAGATAGATGGATGGTTGGGTGGATGAATGTAGATATAGCTATATTTGTATCTCAGTTTTATTTGTAATTAGAAATTCTTAAGTGAAATATAGTTTGAATGTGTTATTTATCCTATCAGAATCACTTGTTCTCCATAAATAACTTGTGCTTTCCCATTTCCCCCCTTGGGGCCTTTACTTTGCCGAGCTCTCTCTCCATAGGCAATATTCTTCCTTCATGCTCATTTCGCACCCATGCCTCAAGGCATAGCATTGATGCAAGAAGCTTCGCCTGGCCTCTCAGGCAAAACTGAGTTCTCTGTCCTTCGAACTCTTCTCTTGGTCACTTACCCCAAGCAGCTTTATACCTCACACCATCGGGATACATGGCTTACCTCACCTACCAATGTGTAAGTTTTGGTGAAAGACAATTATGTTTTTTCCTTCATGGTGTTCCCCCTTAGACATTACTGTAAAGAAAAATCCTCATTTATTGGACGAGTCAATGTATCCTGCTAAAAATTTAGAAACTGATAAAAAAACAAATTCTCTTAAAGCAAATAATTTTCAATAACCTCATCCTGGCATTGCGTACTTCTAGGTTATCAGTAAAATACTGGAGTTGAACAAAGGTTATATACCTAGTAATGTGAATAAAGGATATGGAATCAGTGTATTTTGGCAGAAAGGATATTAGGAATATAAATCTGTTTTGCAGTGACCATTGTAATGCTTTAGCACATTTCATATACGATTTTGTCTAGGGCTGATAATATAATTTTTCTAGTTTAATCTTCCTTTTAGTCTAACTAGGTACATGCTATGAGCTGAGTGATGATTTAATGGTTTTGAAAACAGAGAAGAA